AAAAAAAAAAAAAAAAAAAAAAGAACTGGGGGTTCAGCTCAGTGCAAAGGTTCTGGGTTCAACCCTCAGTACCACCAAATAAATAAATAAATAATAAAGCAAACCCAGCTATAACCCCAGGTGCAATATCATCCATCTGTAGTCCCAGGTATCCTATTGGGAAGCTGAGGCAAGAGGATCTCTTGAGCCCACGACTTCAAGGATATCACAAAGATCCCATATCGCAAAAATAAAAAAATTAAAAGTTCAAACGTATGTCTACTGAAACAAGTGACCAGCAGCTACCAGCCAACTAGGAAAAAGCAATCCAAACACATCACAAAAGAGACTTTTCCTACTTTTTCCTAACCATATTGTTCAAATCAATTCCTGAACACCCTCACTAATCCTTACAATATTATTATCTGTAAGGTTGCAAACAAAAAAGCAGAAGAGATAACAAAAGTCATTTGCCCAAGGTGAAATGGCAAAAGTAACTAAAGTAAAATAATTCAAAGCTTAAACAATTAAAAATAAAAAAGGGCCGAGGATGTAGATCGGTGGCAGAGTTGCCCAGCCCCCAGTTGGGCCTGGGTTCAATCTCCAGGACTGCAAAAAACACAGAGCTTTTGGAGTAAAAGGGCTCCCTTCTCTTCTGCATTCTGATTCACAGAAGTGACCAAAGACTGCGGTTTAATACGCAAAACATACTTTGTATTGACATTTCACTAAAAGACACAAAGTATCAAAGTGTAGCTCTTACTAGCAGGGTCCGGTAGCCCAGCCCTATCAACAAAGACACAGGCAGGAAGATCACAAATTTGAGCCCCACCTGGGCAATTTAGTGATTTAGGGAGACCCTATCCCAAAATAAAAGATCAAAAAAGGGCTGGAGGCCTGTAATCCCAGCACTCCGGAGGCTGAGGCAGGAAGACTGCCAGGTGTTTGAAGCCAACCTGGGCTACACAGTGAGTTCAAGGTCAGCCCGAACTAGAGTGGAGACCCTGTCTCATAAAAGAAAAAACAAAACAGAAAGAAAGTACGGGAATGCAGTTCTGCAGTTCAATGCCAAGGTCCCGGGTTTAATCAACACCACCCCCTAAAAATAAATAAATGAGACCAGTATCGTAAAACGAATTCATACGTCATCTCAAAACCACACGTTAGCTTTTTTGCAAGCCACGACACGGTCACAAAACGGGAAAGGAAACGGATGGGACCTTAGCTTCTTCGCCCCAGACCGCTCTTTTCGGCTGCTGCAGTCCCTAAAACAGGACAGGTTAAGAGATGAAACAAAGTTCGCATCCAACCAGGTCCAAACGCCGGAGGGGTTCTCGAGACGCCGTCCGCGTTCGCCGGCGCGCTACCCCCCAGGCGCGCTCCGCACGGCCGGCGCACACGTCGGGAGCAGCGGAGCGCGGCACGGTGCGGCA